CCCTAATCCTAACCTTAATTTTAATTGAAACGATTAAAACGTCAAAATCACGTGGGTACATGGCTTTAGCCATCCCCTAATTTTAGTAATTCTACAATTCTAGAATTGTGGAATTACTAAATCTATTAATGATCACCAATTTGCATTGTAGAATTGTAGATCGCTTGCAGAATTAATTCTACACGTGTGGAATTAATTCTCCTGCATCTCTACTTATAATGTTATCATTGATTTGTTGATTTACCACCCTAACGTCTCGATCACCAACAAACGATATTATGTTACCCTTGATTAGTTGATTTACTACCCTATCGTCTCGATCACTAACTATATTGGAGGAACTGCTTGAGAACACTCTAAGTTCTATAACGTTTAAATACTGAAACCTCATCCGAAATGCCTATTACTGTAATCTCATTTTCCTGCAATGACTAATCTTTCTTTTTAATTCACATCGGACTTTTAGTATTATCGGCACAACTGTTCAAAAAGTCAATGTTATTGGATATTTGAATAAGATCTGCGGCAAATTTGCCGGGATTTAATTTACTGAATAAAATCTGTACTTTATTGCTGTAATTCAGTAATTCGCATTAATATAAAGGATCTCATTTGTTGAAATACACTGTTTTCAATCAAATTTATAATTAATGAGATAAATTACAAAGTCATGGAAGTATAACGACTGCGCATTCCTAACTTGAATCTTTAAGTTTTAATTTTTCGTTTTCCTTTGCTTTGGCGGTGTTTTATCTGTCACCGTGTTACCTGACAATATAGTTGTCGGAGGGGTTTTAAACCCATCATCATCGTCACCAATAACATTTTCAACTTCCCGAACTAATGAATTAATCAAGCCCTATGATTGTCCATTAGAATTATATTCAGAAATTTCCAAATTCATAATTGTCATAATTCTAGTAAAAAAAATCAAAACTCACTCGAATATTCCATGCCACTCTTAATGCAACTTTCAAGTAATGATAAGTTGAAAATGTGAGCGGGAGGTTAAAGGATTTTAAATGGTGCAGGAAGTATATATTACGTTTCTCTATTAGATAGACTCGAATTTCGGTCATATATGTCTGAGCCAACAAGAGAAATGCCTAAATATAGCAGCCCTTCATAAAACATATAGTCACCACATCGCAAGCGCACCTGGATTCCTAATATATATGGCCGTAATCCACCTTTTCCAGTATGAAGAAACTTTAACTCTAGGTCATCGAGCATGTCCTTCATTATTCTTGGAAGCGTGTATTCATCGGAAGCAAGCTTAGTTAAATCGTAGGAATAAGGACCACCACAGGCCAGTGCACAAGCAATCTCACACTGCTCATAATTGCATAGAAGATCAACCTGATGACCCCGTTCAAGCCTTTCAACAAGTATATCCTTATCATTATTCCGACGACGTAAGGTTGCCAGGACTGTAATTTCCCCCCTAAACGATATTATGAAAATCTTATTATGTAATCTTATTATGTATCGTAAGTATGCACAATGAATGAAAAGATATGCAACATACCATGGAACATAAAAGATGCCATCTAATTTCAGAACTCCTTGTATTAATGGAATTATATAATCACTAGTCCATTCTCGTTCGTGACAGTCATTTTGCAGTGGATTTCGAAACGATTCAAACGCGTCAAGACTATAAATGGTAAACAACAAAGACAATTAAGCATGTTATAATACAAATTTTGCATAAATAATGAGATAGTAACGTACAATTGCCCAGTTACTCTTTCAACCCAGCGTTTTAACTTCTCCCAGTCGTTCTCTGCATACGAGAACTCATTTTTGTGTTCAGGTGCATCCAGGTTTCTAATTTCATACCATCTTTTGCGAGCCTCTCGAAGATCCATCTAAAATAAATTGGCAAAAAAAATCAGAGGTGTAAACATGGAACGAGTTCTTTCCTAATCACAACACCTTACTTTTTGGCTAAACAAGTGAGAAATAAGTTGCTCTATTTCATGATGATAGGATTTTCGAACTACATCAGGTCTGTCCTTAACCAACTTAACCCATTCCTCAGTACTAAACTGTCTTCTGATTTTTGAGGTTGGCGACAAATCTATAATAAAGCTACGGGCAGGACTAGAAAAATATAAACAAAAAAGTAAGTAGTAGTCAAAAGTTATAATTGAACTAATATCATAACTTACTCATAAATTGAGGTAGATTCTTCTGCACAGTATTTCTCCAGAATAGATAATAAATATGACGAACCATTTGATGCCGGTTGCTGTGAACAAGGCTCAGAAGAGATGTTCATAAGAAAAGAGGACGTATAGTTATATGAATGCAGTTCCTCTTCATCTTCAGCATCTTCATTTACATCTTCATCGTCATCGGCCTCTTCTAGTTCGTTAATCAATAGAATTATTGAAGATCTACAATGTTTTACATATTTAAATTAATGAGTGCCCTAATTTCCCCCACCACTTCTGATTTGTTGTACTAATTATTCATTTATCTGAGCCAATCCAATTTCACGATCAGGTGTAACGTAAAAGAAACGCAAAAAAAAATGCAAAAATTAAAAATCGTTGATAACTCTAAATTCAATATATGAAACTGTCTTCTACGCACTAATAAAAAATTTTCCTTGTAAAATTTTGGTAAAAGAAACGTCTTATAATTATAATATAATGCCAAAGTATTAATTCTAGTCTAACAGCGCGAATTTTTACTTGAAATTTTTTTTTGATTACTAATATAAATACTCCAATAATTGAATAATTAGTACAGCCAATCAGAAATGGTGGGGAAAATTAGTAAATCCTAAATGAATCTAAATTACCACTATCATTCAACTTATCATCATCAGTTCTGGTGGCTATATTTGTGTCGGGCTAGATATAAAAAGGAGAATATAAAAAAGAAAATAAAAAAAAGAAAGAGATTAGCCCAAGCCTACTGCTATCAGACAAAATATCCACCAAATGATACTATACTTGAAAATGCGTTCGTTCGATCCTTTCTGTAGCTGTAGTTGTGTCATGATCCTTCTCTTGCCTACGGCGTTTGTTTGAAAAATCATCATTTGTATCCGTATTTTCTACATTTTTTGTACATCTATCATATGCACGCGCTTTCAATTTTGATTCATATAGAACTTCTTTTGCGTTCACGAGGTTTT